TAGTGTCATTATACATAAACTATCTTTCATTTTTAATTTGTATGTAAACTAATTTAAAGTGGATTTTTAATCCGATCAACCACGTCTCCATCAAAATTTTTATTAAAATCCCAAAAATATCCTTAAACACTCATATTCACTTTGTTAATTTTTATTAAAAGATTTTCTATTTGCTATTGTGCTCCTCCGCCTAGATTCAAATGAAGAAGAAGAAGAAAAGTGGAAGCAAGAGAGTCTCAAAAGCTGAGATAAGGGATTCAATATTCATTTATCCTTCTCTTTCTAATGAAGGAGGTGGTTCTGATGAAGTGGAGGCCTCTTCGAGCTCATCAGTCATGGAAAGTACCGGACCTAAGGGAGCTAAGAAGAAATTACAAATGGAGGAAATTTTAGCTAGATCCAATCCTCTACCAGATCCGCAACTACCTCAACTCAGATCTGGTGTTGTAATTCCTCGTCAGCTAGGTAATCCTTCTATCTCTATGTCATGGTCGGATGAAGTAGAGGGGGAAATTTGAATTTGGATTTATTGATAATGTCTCTCTGATGGAGGAAAATATTGAAGATATTCTTTCCGAACAACCTAAGAGTGGCAATATTGTGAATGGGAATCTAGTTTTGGAGGAAGTTAGGGTTGAAGTTTCTGGTCAGGTTGATAAGGCGAATGGTGATGGATTAGAAAAAATTGAACCTGTGACTAAGAAATCCTTTGCTAGTCTGTTTGCTGATAATAGGAAGTATGGAAATGGTTTGAGTCTTAATTTTGTTCCATCCCCCCAAGTAAATACTATTACATTCTCTTTGGAGGAATGGGGGGAAGAGGAAGCCTACTGGAAACATGCTCTAATAGGTAATGTAATTGGATTAAATGTCAAATTTAAATCTATGGAAGCATATGTGAATAAACTATGGGGTAAAATCTCTATTCCCCAGGTTCATTTAATTAAACAAGGTATGTTTCTCTTTGATTTTCAGTCTGAGAAACAAATGAGTGAACATTGTAGAAGACAAAATACTAGAAAGAAATGGGTCCCGGTTAATAAAAACCCTAAAACAAATGCTCAAGTTTCTGGTGTATGTGCACAAAAAGGGGTTACAAGGAATGAATCTAGGAAATCTGAGATGGATGCTACAATGATTGATAGTTGCACTCAGAAAGAAGGAACTATGGATTATAATACTGATAAATCTAGAAAAGAAGTGAAAATTTTTGGAAAACATGCACAAACAGTAGATATCCGTCATAGTGTGTGTGGGCTTGCTATTGTGCACCAAATTTCATCTCCAATTATGAATGCCATTGGATTTACTAGTACAAACAACGATAATTCTTCAAGGAGAGTAATTGCAAGTGCTTTGATTAAAGATAAAGAAACTACATGCTTTCAGGCTTCACTTTTTTTCCATTGGAGCATAAGGTGCAAATTTTAAACCCCTCTAGCATTGATAGGAGTGGATTTCCTTTATAATGCAATTAGCTATTTGGAATATTAGAGGATTTAACAAATCCTCTATACATATGATTGTGAAGCAATTAATTGGTTAATATAATCTTCCCTTCATAGCTCTGTTAGAAACGAAGGTTACTAGTGATACGATGCAGATTATTGCTAAGAAAGTGGCGAAGAATTAGGAATGGATTTCAAATGTTCAACAAGGAAATAGTGCTAGAATTTGGATTCTCTAGAATAGGAAGATTCCCACAGTGCAAAATATTACATCCTCTGATCAATTTGTGACATGTTCTATAGAGTCTAAAGATGGCAGACTATCATGCTTGATTTCTATAGTATATGCTTTCAATGATGTGCACAACAGGAAAATTCTCTGGCAGGAGACCTACTATCATTCAAACAAAATGTTAACTCTCCATGGATTGTTGGAGGTGATTTTAATGTTATTATCAACAATCAAGAGAAAATTGGTGGAGCTTTAGTGTCACCTTCAGACACTAAAGATTTCTAGAATTTTATTTCCACATGTCAGCTTATGCATCTTAAAACTACCGGGTGTTTTTTCACATGGAGTAACAAACATGAGACTAACACGAGAATTTGGTATAGGTTAGATAGAATTCTAGTTAATAAGGAATGGATCCACCAATTTACTTCTAGTCAAGTGGAGTATCTTGTACCAAATTGCTCAGATCATTCTCTAGCTCTGCTAACAATTGAAGATGAGGACTTTGAGGGTAAAAGTCCTTTTACATTTTTTAGAATGTGGATAAATCATCCAGGTTTTACCTCGGTGGTTAATTCAGTGTAGGAGCAGGATATCAGAGGCTATAGGATGTATAAACTTCATACTAAGCTCAATTACCTTAAACCTTCTTTAAAGGAACTAAATAAAAAGTACTTCATGAATATAAGTGATCAAGTACTAAGAGCTAAGGACGAACTAACTGAAATTCAAAAACAATTCAGCATTGATCTCTTCAACTCTACACTGATTTTAAAGGAGAAAGAGTGCTTACACAAATATACCAGGCTTTTAAACTGTGAAATCTCTTTTTTAGGTAGAAGGAAAATATTAAATGAGAAATACATCGTGATAAATGTACACAAGTTTTCAACTCTATCATGAAAGCAAAAAGGAATCATAATAGAGTGCTTTCTTTATATTCTGAAAATGGTGAAAGGATAACTGATATGCCCAGTATGATTGCAGAGTTTGTAGGGTATTATAAGAATCTATTGGGTACTACAATCATCACTTCTAATCCATATCCTGAAGCGATTTCAAATGGCACTACTCTCTCGTCAATTCAAAGCAATGCCCTATGTCTTCCTGTTTTAAGAGAAGAGATAAAGTCAGCGATTTTTTCTATGTTAGATGAGAAAGCTCTTGGTCCTGATGGTTATAATGCTTCCTTCTTCAAAGCAGCTTAGAATGTGATTAGTGAAGACCTTTATCTAGCTGTGGAGGAGTTCTTTTGTTCTGATAAGTTGCTTGGTGCTTTTAACACTACAGCTATTACTCTGGTGCCTAAGTCCTCAATCCCAAAACTCCTTCTAATTTTCGTCCAATATCTTTTTGCAATTGTATTTATAAAATCATTACAAGGATAATTGCTAGCAGAATTCAAAAAGTAATAGGATATCTAATCAGTGATGCTCAAAGTGCATTTATCAAGGGAAGGATTATTTCAAATAATATATTGTTAAACTCTATGGCAGGAAACATTCTTCACCAAGGGCTATTCTCAACATTGACCTTAGGAAAGCATTTGACACCATTGACTGGAAATTTATCAAATCTATGCCAGTGGGACTGAGTTTTCCTAATGTGATGATTATGTGGATTATGGAGTGTATTACCACCCCCAAATTCTCCTTATCTCTTAATGGATCTCTGCATGGGTTTTTCCAAGGTGCTAGGGGCTTAAGACAAGTTGATCCTCTCTCTCCCTACCTATTTGTGCTAGGCATGGAATATCTGTCACGAAAGCTTAGTACTCTGAAAAATAATGCCTTATTCAAGTATCACCCAAAGTGTTCTAAGCTAAAAATTACACACTTATTCTTTACTGATGACTTGATTCTATTTGCTAGGGCTAACTAGTATTCAATAACTAAGCTCTTCAACTGCCTTCATGAATTCAGCAAGGTATCAGGTTTGGAAACTAATCCCAATAAATGTTCAGCGTACATGAGTGGCATAAATGATAATCTTAAACATCAGATAAACTCGAATTTGAATTTTTCTAAAGGAATTATGCCAGTGAGATACTTGGGGATGCCTTTAATCTCTAAAAGGCTATCATGCTTGGATTGATCTCCTCTACTTCGTCGAATTTCTGAACAATTCCAGAGCTGGCAAAAGAAGAAAACCTCATCCTATGCAGGGAGATTACAGCTCATAAAATCAGTTATCCTGGGTGTTCATATTTTTTGGACAAATAATTATATATTACCAAGTAAACTCCTTTAGAAAATTGACAGTCTATGCTAGGAATTTCTCTGGGATCACAAAATTCCATTGGTTTCCTAGAATACAATATGTCAAGACAAAAAGAATAGGGGTTTGAGAGTTTTTTCAGCAAAAATATGAAACTATGCAGCTGCCCTCAAGCTTTTGTGGATGATTTACCTTAGAAAAGACCTCTTATGGATAAAATGGATTCACGACAACTATTTACAACAAGCTAGTATTTGGCAGGTTCAATCTAAGGTGAATGACTCATGGATGTGGAAACAACTTATTAAAGTAAGGGATATGGTGATTGGTAGGCTGGGGAGTGTAGATAATCTGCAAAACATTATCAACAGCTGCTGCGTGGATGGAAAAATTCAAGTTTTTTCTGTTTACAAGCACCTGACTCACCCAACTCTCCAGGTAGATTGGTCAGACACAGTTTGGGATAGTTAGTCATTCACTCAAGGTTACTAACACAAGATAGGTTATGTCGTATGAGTATCCTTGACACAAACCAATGTGATTTGTGTTCTAATCATCTGGAAACCTGTCGCCATCTCTTTTTTGAATGCCAATACTCTGTAAGTGTGTGGAACAAAGTCATGGATTGGCTAAAATTTAATTGGAGATCATGTAATTGGGATCATATCATTGCTTGGTATATCTACAGAGTTAGAAGGAGGGGTTTACGGAAAAATTGAAAAGGATGGCTTTGTCAGTTTCTTTGTATTTGACATGGCAGGAGAGGAATTTGATGATCTTCCAGGACAAAACTAGACAGCCGGAGCTCCTGTTTGGAGCAGCAAAGATCTCCATCTTCTCTAAAATCCTAAATGATAATTTCCCATTGCATGTGAAAGAGAGAGAATTGAGAGAATGTAATAATGCTCTCTTAGTTAGCTGAGAACCAGACAGGTTCTGGCTTTGTTGCTGTACTAAAAACTTCACATTGGTAAATGAATAAAAATTATTTCAATGACCAAAAAAATGTTTAGTTCTATTTAGGATATAAGTCATGTACCTTAAACATGCATTTTACGGTTATTTTTTAGTTTTTAATGAAAATATAACTAGGAAGCGGTTGATTGGATCAAAAGACACGCTCAAAGTGATTTATGTATAAATCGAAAATGAAAGCTTGGTTCTATAAAATAACTCTGTTTCAAGGTTCTTAAAAAAAAAAACAACCCTTTAGTAACTAGGGGGAAAAACAAAGGAAAGAAGAGAAAAGGGCTAATTTCTCTTGAAAAGCTCCAAACAGTGCTCCTGATCCAAATTCCTACTCCAGAACCTTTTGTAGTACTCGTCATAAGTATAGCTCCTGTAAATGGCCGGACTTTGATTGGCGGTGAGCTTCACTGGCGGGCTGATGACTGCAGAGTTGCATGGACAAAGGAAGGAGGCAATGGTCATTCTCTCTTTATTTGAATTTACGACGGCTCTGTGCCAAATGCTCTTGTACTTTCCATTACTTAACGCCTGAAATATTTTTGTAGGAGGTTCATTTTCAGCTTTGAATAAGAAAAAAAAAGTAATATTAATATATACTACTCTTAGAATGACATGATTAGTCTCTTGAATTCATATGTGACATGATATGCAATGCCACATGCACGTTTTAAGTCTTTGTTAAACGAAACGTTTAAAACATTACACGACACACATACGAATAATTACAGACTAGATCATCAAATACATGTCAAGATCATAATTATTAATTAATGACCTAGACGTATAGCACATCAGTGACACATCATCAAAAATCATGGAGGGGCGTGCACACTGGATCTATCTAGCTGGATCTAAGCAAAATCTGTTTACCTGCAATTGGTCACCGATGTTGATAACAAAAGCATCAGGGTGCGGATCAACCGCGAACCAAAGGCCATTCCTACGAACCTGCAGGCCAGCAACAGTCCGGTCCTGAAGGAGGATGGTGAGCGCATTTGGATCCGTGTGAGCTGGCAATCCAAAAGTGAGGTCCGGCTCAGGGCACCGTGGGTAGTAATTTATGGCCATATGTTGCTCCTGCTCACCGAGAACTCTCTCGATGTAGTCCTCTTCTAGACCCAAGCTCAGAGATATTAGCCCAAGTAGACGGAAGCCCAGTTGTCGGATTTCCTTGCAGTAAGTGCTCACGACTTCTCTGTGATCAAGTCAAGCACCAATAATTGTCGATCAGTATTGCACGTGCCAACTCACTATACTCTCACAACTCATCTATAGTGTGTTTGTATTAATTCGTACGTTTATCTTCTCTTTTCTTCTCTTTACTAGTTTTCCTCAACTTCCCTTACCCTCTAAGAAATCCGAACATGGCCTTAAAAAGGTTTTTTTTTTTTTTATCTGTGTCAAGTCACGTACACTTCTACGACGGTATGTGTAAGATAAAACACCCACATTTTAGGATGGAGGTTTGAGGTTTTTATTTGATTAGAGCTTGTTTGACGAAGATCCCACATATTAATCCCCCATGTGATTTGGCATGTGCCTGCACATGCCGAGGTCAAGGGCTTCTAGAGGCAGATGACGTGTAGCTTTCCTGTGTAATAAACAAGCAGCGGTTGATGCGAGGGGCTGATGCGCACTATTGTCAGCCACGGCATACAATTTTATGAAAAAAGTTGATGTTATTAATTTCGGTGAGAAGCCAGTGCCAATGTTGCGGTAGCCACAATTCCAACCCTCGACAGAGACAGCGTTGAAAGATTATCAAAAAGTCCTTGAGGGTGCAAAAATACATATTAGTTAATAAACCTTTTTTTTTTATCATATAAACTATCTCTTTTTTAATATTACCTTGTTTTCATCTCTGTATCTATATCTATAATTAATTAATAACTAAATGGATATTAATATGGTAAATATTATATATGAACTGTATATATCCTAACCGTTTGCACCCCACCCAACTTTGAGATGAATGATTATCAAAAAGCCTAGAGCTTGAGAATGATTCTTGTTGGCATGGTTAGCAATTTATGAAGAAGTTTCAAGGTAAAGGAAGAACGTTTCAGAACGATTCTCTCTTATTTCAGTACTTTTTCATTGACTTCACTAAGTCGTCGCAAGATATATGCACACATAAGCAACACTAGGACTGTAAATGATACGATTCGTCTGGTTCTAGACGCATGAGCTATAGCATATCCTAGCCAATTTTAAGATGTATTAATTAACCATCCAAGTTTAAGATATACAAGATGGTGATTATGTACGCAAGAGCAAGACCCCACACCAAGAACACGGATTTGTTCTTACTAACAAATGGACAAACATGCAGTTCACAAGAAAAAGATGGATCCGCGCGCACTTAACTATCCTAGCTCAAAACATACCTTAAAAAAAGAGACAGGCCAAGGATGAATTTTCAACCTCTAAAAAGTTGGTAATAGTGGAAATTAAGATACAAAATATTCGACACGTGTTTCTTGTACCATGATGGCTATAACTTCAGGTGAAACAATTAATCCCATAAATTAAGGTCTCTCCCGAGAAAATCATACTGAAAATAAAATTTCCAAATTGCGCTATCAAAATTTTATAAATATACAGTTTGCTCTAATTTAATAGTTACCCTGTGCTGATCTTTTAACGGCTTCCACTATATTAATTGCACTAATTAGAATTAATATGTTATGCAAGTTCTCTTCCCCCCTCCCCCGGCAAATTAACCACACCATTGACATTCCGTGTGCTACTTTGTAAAATTTATTGTGTCCTATTGTATTGAGGTGTCTATAATTGTGCTTATTAAAATTTTAGTGCTGATCTTGAGAGCATCCGTGGGAACTCAATCTCATTTTTGATAAAATTTACTCATTTACTTATTTTGTTTTGATAAATAGAAAAATAATAAGTTGAGATTTTCCAACGTGTTTTCATGAGTCTTACAAGAAAGTTTACTTACGCTGTGTCTGGGAGTTCACTAAGGGAAGGAAATGAAAGGTAAGATAGGGAAATAAAAGGTAAGAAAGAGGAGGGGAAATATAGTATCTTGTTTGGGAGTTTTATAAGGAAAATAGAGGTGAACTCAAATTAAGTTGTTTGGGAGTTCTAATTATGAGAAGAGAAGAGAAGTAAATAAATCTTAGCCATTGATTTATTATGATAAAGAGTCAATATGTTTCTTTCATTATGAAATTTTACTTTCCTTCCTTTTCTCTCCGTTACCGCCCAAATCATAGAAGTTTTTATGAAAACTTCTCATTCCTTTCCCCTCTTTACCCTCCTAATAAAACTCCTAAACAAAATTAAACTTACTATTCTCTTCCCTTCCCCCTCTTTAGCCCCCATCTAAACTCAACATTATTGTGTGGCAAAAGATTATTTTACCAGTTACATTAAAGTGCATGCAGAAGGTTTCATATTGTTCGCGGAAGTATATATATGTGCATATGTATATATGTATACATGGGGAAACCTTCACCTGAATAAAGTAGGCTTAGAAGGCCAATCCGAAACAAAATCCTCAAGAGGGTAACAATGAAGTCGGAGATAATCCCTCCAGTTATGAACCTTCTCTTTCCTTACGTTAAAACTCGTCGAAAGCCTCGTTTTCTTCGCTGGATCATCGGAATACAGCCTCATCTTCTCCTCCGCAGGGAGCCGAAAGAATTCTGCAGCAACTGCCGTCATCTTCAGCATCAGCTCAATAGTCACTCCATGATTCACAACCTGTAATATGAATCAAAGAAGGAAAAGAGTGAATTGAAATCAGCATACAATTTACAATTAACTGCGTATAGATATTTATGCACCTGAAAGAAACCGTAGGATTCGCAGGCATGGGCTACTTGATTGATGATTTGGGATTTATCGGGGCAGCTCAAGTCGATGACCGGAATATTGTCATCATTCTGTACCTCGTTAAGCTGAGGCCTCTCGGCCTCGGGTCGAATATAGCTCTCGGGTAGGCTATTGTGCTTGATGCCTGTAGAAAGAAGTTGCTCTGCCATTAGAAATTAAGAAACAGAGAAAGCGAGTTATGAGAAGTGGAGCAGTATGGACTCGTTTTAATGGGTGGAGTCTACGCTGATTACGGACAGGTAAGCGATGACATCAGTCGAATGACGTCAATCCCACAAAATTGCTTTCGCGAGCTCTAGTTACGTTGAGGTACGCCTGCCGAAAGCTTAATTAAGTTCTCGATTAGTATTTTACTCCTTGTCGGGGCCACAAAATACACTGTCTGGTGATTGAAGGCCCACCGTATTTATTCTTGAATCCATAATCGACATAGAGATGCAAAATTTCTAAAGCATAGATTTGATCCAGGGAATTTTATTGTGGCAGCAAAAATCATGAATAGAAATGAGGCATGGTAATCTATTTGGATCAAATTTGACTCAAAAGATAAGCTGTCAAAGCATTATTAACTATCACCTATTTAACTATTTTTGCGAAGATCAAACTTACACATTGAATTGGATGCACATGGCACACCTTCAGAATTTTGAATCATAAAATGTCAATGCTTCCAACTGTTAAGAGGGTCTCTCATCCATTTGGTTGAGTTTAGAAAGAAAGAAAGAAAGAAAATAATCAAAAAAAAAAAAAAGATATATAATTATGTTAAAATATATTTAGACTCATGACTCGAAGAGAATTAATATTTTTTCAGTCAAGCTCCTAATACATTACCGAACTCTATTTTTGTTAATGACCACTTCCATCCTAACAAATTAATATATGAGCCTATGGTTAAATCGATGGACCGGATACTTGTTTGCCTCGAGATTATGTTGCATGAGTTAGAATAAGGTTGAGCACACTTGTCATTGCATTTATCTTGGTTATAATAACACACTTTTCCAACCCTAATATCAATTGCATAAAGGAAGGTAATGTTAGTCTAAGTGTGTAGACCCGAAGCTGCAATCGAAAAGACGATGAAAACAGTCAGAAGACTGTGCGGTCGACCGCAGTGCCAGATCCGGTCGACCGCGTGCACTGTAGGAAACTGAGAAGTTTCTGTCGCTCTGGCCGGTCGACCGGGTGGCCGCTGCGGTCGCGACCGCAAATGTGCACAGATCCCTGTACAACACCTTTTTCTCTGGCGGCGACCGGCCTTGCACGCGGCGACGCGAATCGTCTCCAGGACAGTTCACTAAAACTGTTTGCGACTCTTGTTTTGTTTCAGGATCTATATATTACCACCAAACGTTTTTAGGGATTGTACAATCATCAAAAAGAGAAGCTTTTTGACTCAAAGCGAGCGAGAGAATCTCAGAGAGATTAACCCTTGTTTCGAGAGCTTGTATTTTTCTTTCTTCAATTAATAAAGAGATTGCTGTGGTGTGTCTCCGAGGACCGTAGGCACGTTGCCCGAACCCTCGTTAAAATCTGTTGTGTTCATATCCCTTACTATTTTTTTGAAAGTTAGATCTTTATTTGTGATTTTATTCCTTACTTTCCTACTTTCAACACAAGGTCCGGCAAGGCAAGGGTTCGAATTGATTTGTTTCGAATCCCAACAACTGGTATCAAGAGCTTCGTGTCAGCAATTTGTGTGAAGCCATGCCCAGAAGAGACAAATCAATAGATTGAGAAGCTTCGATGGTCGGATTTCGCCTACTGGAAGTCGCCAATGGAGGACTATCTGTACCAGAAGGACTTGTATCAGCGCGTTTGGGCAGCGAAAAGCGGAAAGAAGAAAGAGGATTCGATGCGTGATTGGGAGTGCGTACTGGATAGGAAAGCTTAGGGCAAATCGCGCGTTGTCGACTCGCCAAATCAGTACGCCCACAATATTCTGGAAGCGAGAAGACGACGGTTGGGCTTAATGGAAGCGCTCGCCAAGATGGTACGAGCACCGTCTAGGCCGCTGCAGCAAACAAGTGATTCTAATCAAAAACTCTTTTCAACCTCAGATGCGAAGGACGGATCCTTCACGATGCACCTCAGCGAGTTCAACACGATTGCTTGGATACTTATCTCCGTGGACATCACGTTTGATGACGAAGTGCAAGCCCTATTGATTCTATCGCAGTTGCCGGATAGTTGGGCAGGTTGTGTGACAGCAATCAACAATTTGGCGGGGAAAGAGAAGTTGAAGCTGAATGAGGTTGTTAGCATGATTCTATCCGAGGAGGTTAGAAGGAAATCGTCCGAATCAGAAGGTTCAGGTTCAGCCCTAAGTTTCGAGCAGAGAGGCAGAAGCCAGAAGAAAGGGAACCAGAACAGGAATCGGTCGAAATCAGTGAAGAAGAGGCCGAACTCGAAGGTTAGGTCTATCAAAGGGAAGTGTTGGAACTGCGGCCAGGAGGGCCATATGTCTTCGGTCTGTAAAGCACCAAAGAAGGATGCGGGTGAGCAGGAGGCTCATATCATGCAGGATGCCTTAATCCTTGCTATGGATAGCGATTCTGATTCTTAGGTCATCGACTCAGGAGCTTCTTTCCACGCCACTGCTAATAGGAAACTACTTTAGAACTATGTAGCAGGGGACTTTGGTAAAGTATACTTGGGGGACAATGAACCTTGCAATATTGTTGGAAAGGGCGATGTTCAGATACAGATAAATAGCTCTACGTGGATGTCGGGTGTAAATTTGATTTCCCGAAAACAGGGAGTTTCGTTTGTATTGATAAGAAAGCTTATTACAAACTAATAATCAAATGTTTACAACAGAAGCAGAGGGAATGCCCTCTTTGTTTAGTGTGGGGACTTAAGGTGGCTATAGGATGCTTCACTCGATGCTCGTGTCGAGTCTGCTTCCCTTGGACCGTTCGATCGAGGTTGCTGGAGAGCTTCAGTACACAGTAGAAGCTCAAGTCGATAGAGTTCGGGTCTGCTTAGTTCGTCGGCGATCGGAGCTCAGAACTAGACAGTGGCACTGTAATGCAAGGATTATGCGAACAACTTGGTCTCAACTGCTTTTCTCCAAGTTTTTCGACCTCCCTCAAAGTTTGCTGGAAGAGGTTTTTAAATGGAAGAAGGACATCTTGACTGTTCTTAAATTATGGGATGTGACCATACATTGTTCGGAGATATCCTGCTGGTCCTTCGTACCACCAGTGGTCATTCGAAGAGTTGCGCTCTGCATCACGTTACGTAGGAGTGGGAAAGCCCCTCCTCGTATGCGTAACAACGGCTGTCGGATGCTTGCGTGGATCTGACCAACCACCGAGCACCGGCGGCTCTCGCCCTTTGCTTGGACAACTGAGGTGAGTCGCATTTATGAGAGTGCAGGCTGCTTTGACATCTGTCTGCTCACTTGTACTGTGGGCGGCTATTCGGCGGGCCTGGAGTGCGGTGCCTTCTCTCTTCAGGTCAAGAGAGGCGAGAAAGCATGTTCCTGGCACTCGAGTGGGTTTGGACAGCTCGCCGAATACTGGCGGATTCGTCTCCTGACTCAGACAGCCGAGGTGAGTTGCATTTATGAATGCTCAGGTCGACTCGACACCTGTCCAGTCCTTCGCACTGTGAGCGACCGCTTGATGGTCTTGGAGTACTGTGCCCTCTCTCTTCGGGTCGAGAGAGGAGGGAAAGCCCATCTCAGCACGTGGGGTAGCAGGTATCTGGCCATATTAGCGGCCTTGGGGTTTGCGGGCGGATTCGACTTTGGACTCGGGCAGGCGAGTTGTGTAAAAAGCGAAATTCTGCTATTCCCAGTTGATTCTGGCTCGTGCAGGCGAGTTGATCATTCAGGTGAATTTCCTGCAAGCTCGCAGAGGTATTTTTTACCGTCTACAAGACCCCCTTCAAAGTTTTCAGACCTAAACCGGCTTACGTGTGGTCTGGAATACTTTGAATGAAGAAGTTTTTTTGCGAAGTAAACGCACTTGGTTTCTTTTAGGATTTTTAGCAAACCCTCAGCTATCAACGGGTTTGATGTGCCTTTACTGATTACCATTTGAATCGGGCTAGCCATACTATTCCCCTCAGTATGATGAGTTGTCGAGTAGTTTCTCTTAGACTTGATGCTAAGATTTCTACTCTCAATCTCAGCCGTTCGAGGCGTGGTTTTAAGCGAGATCATCTTTTTAGCGTTTTTAAAGCTTGGGACAAGTCGTGTTATTTGTCGTTCGTCTCCAAGAACGAATGAGCCGTTCAGGCGAAGTTAGGTTTTGGAGGCGAAATTCTGTTCGACTTGCGGATTTGGGTCGAATTTTCGCAGGCGAGACCTTTCTTTTCGGGCGAAACTCGGTTCGGTGTGGGTGAGCCACGCGTCCGCTGGTGGGCTTCGTGCTTTCTAGCTAAGACGGCGTGGTTCTGTCACGTCGCGCTCTGACGCCAGCTTCGTGCTCCCCGTTTGAATCGTGGCCGTGGTTTTCGAACCCAACCGTTAGATACAACCGTCGATTTCGGTTCCGGTTAGGGGTGTTTTGATCGACCCGTTTCCCGCCTTGACGTGGCACTTCGAAATGTCGGGTACAATTTGGGACGTCGATTTCGATCGTGGTCACGTCTCTCGCCCACCAGTATTTCACTTTTTGAGGGCGATCGTGGCCACATTGGCAACTCCTCTTTTAAATAGGTTGTTCCCTTTCTTTGAGAGTTACCGTGCTCAGGAAAATCTCAAAAATTTTCTAGGAAGAGAGAGTTCTCGCTTAATCCCCCCAATGCCGCCAAGATCTAAGAAGTGCGCTCCGAAAGGAGGAGGCCCCGGGCGCTATTCCGACCGCCTTGCCGCCGGCGCACCCGCCCGCATACTTGAGACGCACTTGGGTAAGTCTAGAGGCTCGTCTGACGACCTTGCGTGGGTTGCCGACGTCAGGTTGGGAGGATGAGCCTCGTTTATCTTCCCTAGATTTGGTCATCTTTGGCAGCTTCCCTGACTTAGGGCAAAGCCGGCCCCTTTTTGGGCGGATTTTGTATTCACTCATAGGGGACGATTTCTGCCTTTACAGGAGAAATTGACTTTTGTTGGGTGGAGGCGAATTCGTTCTTGATAGGCGAGTTTGACCTCTTCTCTGGTAAAAGGGGAGCGTTGTTTTCGCTTTCCGACAAGCGAATTCGCCCGTTT